ACGAGTAAATGGTGAAGGTTTATCATTATCAAATGATCAACAACAACGACGAAGAAAAAATGGTCTATCAACAACAACATCAATAATTCAAAGAAATGGTAAATCAACACGATTGACAACAAATAATGAAACACCATTGCTTTCGCATCTTTTTATGGGAACGCATAATTCTACTAGTGATTCGATATGATTTAATTTTATTCTTGCTTTAACTAGTTTTCTTTTTTTTGGGCTTTCAATCTCATCTTTCTTTCTTTCTTTTTTTTCTGTTTGATTTATTCAAATTCTAAATGTATGCATTTCCCTTGTAGCACAATGATCAACAGCACAGAATTGATTTGTCAAATTATTAATTTATAAAAATCCCGCTCCCCGTTTATCTTGTTTCCTTGTGAATATGTTTTTGTTCTTAATTGATCTGAAGAATATTAATAATAAAAAAAAATATGATAGAAAACAAAAGCATGCATCATAAGCAATCATCATTATTGTGAGTTTTAGATGTCGTCAGCTATACGAGTAGGAATTATTGGTGGATCAGGTTTTGATCGAAGTGATATTTTAACAAATCGTGTTGAACATGAAAATATTGAAACACCATATGGAAAACCATCGGATAATTTAGTTAGTGGAACTATTAATGGTGTTCAATGTGTCTTATGTTTCCGTCATGGACGTCATCATTCATTTAATCCTTCTCGATTGAAGTTTGTCAATTCTATAATTTTTATTGATTTTGATTGAGTTATTTTAGTTATCGAGCAAATCTTTGGGCTTTAAAACAACTTGGTGTCAATGTTATTTTAGCTACTACAGCTGTTGGTTCGATATCACCAGATTTTATACGTGGTACTCTCGTTGTTTTTGGTAATAATTTATTAGTAAATTTCTTTTTAATCGATAAATTTATGATTTAGATAATTTCGTTGATACAACAAAATTTCGACCAAATACATTTTATGATCATGAACCAGGTCATCTACAAGGTGTTATGCATATGAGTATGCATCCACCATATGATCGTGAATTACGTCAATTATTACTTCAATCATGTGCTGAAACACCTGATGTTGCATTTAAAGATAAATCAACTGTTGTTGTTATTGAAGGTCCACAATTTTCTACTTATGCTGAAAATAAAGTATACATGAGTTGGGGTTGTACAACTATTGGTATGACACAAGCACCAGAAACAGTTCTTGCTAAAGAATTAGGCATACCATATGCAGCACTTGGTATTGTAACTGATGATATCTGTTGGAAAGAAGATGGTTTGTTATTTAAACCTGAATTTTTGTATTTAGAAAAAATATTTTATTTTGTTAAGGCATTGTTGATCCAAATGAAGTTATAACAATCTTTAAAGCAACATTTCCAAAAGCAATGGAAGTTCTTAGACGTACAATAACAAAAATTGGTGAAAAAGATTGGACAGAAATCTTAGAAACAATTCGAAATCGAACTGAAGAAGCTGTCATGAAACATTAAAAAACAGAAAATAACAATATTTTTTTTTCCTTGTTGAGTGCAATTTGGGTTGCTTTCTCATTCCATCTATTGTGATCACAGTGCAAATCTTTACAAAAACTATGTTCTTTCAGTATCATTAAGCATAACTGCTTCTATTTGCTTTGCTTATCACCTTTTCTAGATGCTTTATAAAATAAAACTATTATGACAACTCGTAATTTAACATCACAGTTTGAACAATTTCGAAACCGTGCTACCCGTGAACCGCATTATCTTGTTGATAATAAAGTATGTTCAAGAAAATCCAATGAAATAGTATAAACTAAATCGTTATTCTATTAAATTATATTTTCAAATGTCAAGAATCTCTTCTGATGATCGTACGAGTTATAAAAGTTTTTTTATTAGATGTATAATCTATCGTCGTCTCCGTAATTTAATAGAAATGAGTATAAGATGAATATCTCGAGACCAATAATAAGTAGCAACCTGACTTTTTCCGATAACGTATAAGATGATATCCTTTTGAAATTAATCATCTTTGAAAAACAAATCTATAAAATTTTGTTTTTAATCTTTGATTTAGGTAGAGAGACTCAGTGACGGATTAAGAGGGGCGTTGGGATGATGACCCCCCCCCCCCTTCCGATTGGACTCAAAAAATAGCTTTTAGCCAAAATCGCCCACCTCCCCAGGTATCGCCCCTCCATACTCAAAAAAAAAATTGGCCCCTCCCTTCCAAAATCCTAGATCCGCCACTGGAGAGACTTCAGATCGATTATCAATAAAATTACATAGAATTTCTGATTTTAGTCTATTGGTGATCGTACAGCATTATTACAAAGTGAAGATGAAGATATTGTTCACTTTGAAAAGCCTGATTTACCATTATGGTATAAGTCAAATTTTGTTACTTTATCTAGTACTAAAATAATTGATTATAGGATGGAATTGGAACGAAAAATACAATTACAGCTCGATGAAGTACGGAGTCAAGGTAAAATTCTTTTTTTAAATTTTAAGAAAATAAAAAGTTTTTTTATAATTAATTTAGTTAAAAAATTACAACAACTACAAAATAAATATTTAAAGCAACCTGATTTTGATGATAATTTAACTAATAAAAAACAAATTGATACACTTACAAACGATATCACAACGGTTTATATCTATCATATAGCCATTGAATAAATCAGTCTTTTTTTTTCTTTATCTTATTGGAGTAGATGTTACAAGAATGTAATGCATCTGTTCAACGTCTTTCATTACAAGCTAAAAAATCACAGAAAAATTCATATGATCAACGTTTAATTTCAAATGCTGTTCAAGCAGCAGTCACTGCTTTTCAAGATATAACTACTAAGTTTCGTAATTTTCAATGGGGTTATATTCTTCGTAAGTTATAAATATATATTTGTAAAAATTCTCTTGATTTAAATTCAAAATACATTTGCAAATTGTACTATTTGTAGAGTTTTTCGAATAATACTTATAGAAGATTTTAAGCTTATAAATTATCATTCACGATTTATAATATTTTCAGTCTATAGTAATGGCTTAGTTAAAAACGGGAGATAATTGATGCCGATTGTAGTTTGTCATCATTATATTTGATTCACGATCTCGGAAAATTATATTCTTTTTATTTAGAATTGAAACATCGGAACGAAAATAGTCGTCAGACGATGACTAATTTTGATATTAATATGCATTCCAATCCATTTACTGATCAAGATGATCCAGATATAGATTTTGATCAATTAACTGTATGTAATACAAATAATATTTTTCATATAAAACCTCAATTTAATTTCAGTTAACGTTAGAAAGTCAAGAACAAGTAACATCGTTAACTCTTAAATTTGAAAAAGAACGTGAGAAAGAAATTCGTGAAACACTTCAGTCAATGAATGATGTTAATAATATATTTAATGACATTGCAACATTAGTTTCTAGTCAAGTATGAAAATTTGATATTTTTGAATTTGATTAAATGTTTTGTTTTTAGGGAACATATATAGATCAAATAGAATGTAATATGGAAGAAGCTGTTGTTCAACTTGAACAAGGAAATCAACATTTAGTTAAAGCCGTTGAACATCAGAACCGATTGTTAAAATGGAAATTAATATTTATTGGTATTGGTGCTGCTGTTTTATTATTTATTATTTTAATGAGTATTATATGAAGATAATATTTTTGTATTGTTTTTCTAAAGATAATTTTTTTTTATAAATTTTATACAAACTAAAAATTATTTTTGTATATGTGATAGATTGATTTTCATTTAAATAAAAATTTTGTGAATCGAATATATTGGTCTCATAGGATTGAATAAATAGCAGATCATTTTTTAGTATCGTTATCATTCTTGATAAAGAGTCTGAAAGTATTTATTACCAATTGATTGTCACAAGTGTAATAGTTTTCAACTATAAACATATCGATATATATCTGTAGATTCAGCATAAGAAACCTTTCTCCTTTAAAAAACTATAGGATGACGTAGAATTTCGTATCGTATTCAACCAATCTAGAATATATAAACAATAATTTAGTTGTTTCTCACTGCATACAAACAATTAAGATGGATATTGGAAAGAATC